ACCCTACTTGCTGTGCCAACGATCGCGGGTTCGAATCCGGCTGCAGGCTTCATTTGTGTGATGAGTACCAATGTTTATACTCGTCATGGGTGTATATATATGTATAATATGTATGTATTTAAAGTTATATATGTGTAGTGTACCAACTATCTGGTATTCATAACACAAGCCTCGACGTACAAATGATATGATTATAAATACCGTTATTTAGGATAGTAACGCTCATTCAGAAGAATTTTCAAGTCATTATATAGAGTTTCTTTTAGTCACGCTAAGTTTCATTCGACAATTCTTCTCAGGAATTAGGTTTTTTTTCGAACTGCTGGTAGTGTTTTGAGCAAACAATAAAATAATTATGTGTCTTTGAAATACCAATATCGAATAAAATTTAAAGGGTTTCTTTCTCAACGGAAGGAGAATATAGCTCTACTTATTTATAATTCTAAAAAAATCATAGAGAGACCATTTATGTCCATTAAATATATTTAAAATACGTATTTCACAAAGTCGTGGTGACATCTATGATTTTCCAAATAATATAAAGTAATAGCATATCATCATTGTTTAACTACTAGCGACTAACCCTCGCTTCGCTCGGGTTCGTCCCTAGGTTGATTCCCCAAACAAACTTTCATTCCCATTTTCACCGTCCGTTAAGGGATGATTTCCGAGATAAAAGTATCTTATGTCCTTCCCAGGTTCTCAAACATCTTCTTACCAAATTTAATCTACATCGGTAGAGTAGATCCAGAGATTACCCCCTACAACGTCAAAAACTCAAAAAATTCGCAAACTTTGCATCTATAATATTAACACAGATTTTTATGTACCTATAAAATTTCGTTATTTTGTACATAAAAATATTTATAATTATGTTCTGGTTTATTTTGTAAGTTTGTTAGTTTTGGCATGATTTTACTAAAACCAGTTTTTGTATTATTATTATTTTTGTAGAGGCTAAGGTATTTCTTCGCAGTAAAAAGAACTCTATATGTTGACCCGGCTAATCAACTATTAACATTCCTCTGCAAAATCCGTCCAGTAGTTTTCCTATGATGCGGTCACAGACACACAGACATAAATTTTATAAACTGTAGATTTGGGCTCTGTATCGATAATAATGTCTTTCACTTAGACATACCAAAAAAACATTATGCATAGATTCGGCTGACATACAACTTTATTATAAGTATAGAAATATCTAGCAAAATTTTATTTGAAGTAAATTAATAGATATTAGTCCAATCGGAATCCGGTTTGGAAACAAAATATTGAAAACCTGAAGTTTTATGACTTTAAAATATTAGCAGGTATTAATAAGGAATAGAAATTCTTATTCGATTTAAATTTATAAAATCATCCTTTAATCTACTGTGCATCCATTAAATGATAAGATATTCATGATAAAAAAGAAAAGGATCCTTTTTCATTGAAAGTGGAATACCTCAGGAAAAAAATCGACGTAAAGAGTTCAGTAACAAAATTATTGTTCCTTTTTAAAAGAAACATTTAAAAAAAAATGATCAAAACTATGACTAACTTTTGCAAATATCAACAATTATTTTTAATTATATTGTTAGCTAAAGAATAAACAAGAACAACTTAACTGTCCGCAAAATAGACACAATAGTTAAACAATCGAAATGTTCATATATGACTCATGGGACAGGGAAATAGTTAATTAAGACTATGAATGAATTGCATTTCTTTCTGTAATTACCTTTAAATAAAATTTTTCAGAAATAATCATTAAATTTAACTCCAAAATCGATCAAAAACTAACAAAATATCGATAAATTCGAAAAAATAATAACATAAATAGATTCTACGGCAAAAAAATACAAAAGCCGTGATATACGTGAATTCCAATTTTTATTATTTTTTCACGACCCGTCAAATTGCAAAGTTGGAATGTTTACGGCGACATTGTATAAATAACAAGCGTTAAATTAAAAACTTAAGGACAACCTTTTTTTATTTTTTCCTGAAAAATACATTGGTGTAATCAGTTTATAAAAATTTGGTCAATAAAGTACATTTCTCCAATGATAGTTGAAAAAATGTATTAGTTTACAAACAAAAAATTATCGATTTCTCCAATTCTTAAAATTTTTAAGAGTGTTTTTACAGAACAACCATATAATGTTTTATTTTTTAAAAAATCTGAGTTCAAGACGAAAAGAATGAGCTCTATCTGAAAATTGAACAAAAAATTTTTTAAATGTAAACGACCACTTGAAGTTGGGTGTGATTTTCAGGTTCTCGAGATCATAAAACATACGTTTCTCGGAAATGGCTAAACATTTCAATTTCAATTTTTTTATTTATTATAATATGTATTTCAAAGATTACATTTCCTTAGTTTCATGAAAGTCAGAAGATTACACTAGAAATTAAAAATAAAAAACCAAGAAAAAGTTAAAAACTGAGTTTTCTGCAAATATCTCGAAAACTATGAGGTTTATTGTTTAGGTTAGGTTTAGGTTATTGTAAAAATTGTTAGTATAAAAGTTGTAGATTTTTACTAGACCTACAACTTTTATAATAATTTTTTTTCGATAGAACGTGACAGTAAGCCGGAAAAAAAATATTTTTCAACGCTTTGCGTCCCCCCATTTCTGGAGAGTAGCTGGGCATTGGGGGCATTGTATGAATTTCTATTCCTTATATACCTACGTACCTGCTAAGTGCTAACATTTTAAAATCATAAAACTTCAGGTTTTCAATATTTTGCTCTCAAACCGAATTCGGATTGGACTAAGATGGAAGAATTTTATTACTTTCATTTTTCTCGATGGGGAATAAATTTATTTTCTCTTAAAAATAAACGGATTCCGATTCGTCTATATGTGTATATAATGTATGTCTAAAGTATAACGTTTTCTATAGGTAGAGAAAATATAATTTCCAGTTGTGTCTTCAGGTTTTTCCAATCCTCTATCAATTAATTCACTTTACTTTCACTTTAATTTCATTTGTGTTATACGAGTACCTACGTAGAAGAAAATCTCCATACAAGTAGGTTTTAACATTACTCACGTAGGTGGAGCTGGAATTAGAGCATAGCAACCGGGGTACCCCCCACACGACGGATATTCTTTTATAAAATTCGTTTTATATATAAATGAATGAACTCATTTTGTGATTTCAAAAATTTTGCAAGATAAATACTTAAAAAGAAATCCGATAAAAAGCTTTTTTGAGTTATTTGCAATATCTTTATTTCTCTGAGCCTCCACTTTTTAAATCGACTCTACACGTAGGTCGGACTTTTTTTTTTTTTAACGTTGGGAAATGCATTTACGCACGAGGTGTGGGACTCACCGGTTAAGCCAGTACTACCCACTAAAACCCAACAAAACCTTCCCCCGTCTTAATGGGGCGTCGCAGGATCGCTTACGCATTCAACTACGACGCCCCAACGGCAGGTCTGCCGAAGCAGACCACAACAACCACGGGGTTGCTCCACAGTCCACTCTGCTATCAGAGAAGTACCAGGAGCAACCCGCATGGTACATCGCCCTCCGAAGAGGGCCACCTCTCACCGCCCACCGAAGTGGGCCACCTCCCTGTGCGTTTCTTGGCTTCGCGCCCGGTTGGGTTGCCGGGCACTACTGAGCCCCCCACCACGACAAGGTGAACGCAAGTTGGGGGGACACGTAGGTCGGACTGCATTAACTCAAACAATTTAATTTTTAACAAATTAAGTCAAGAGTTGTTAACTTAATTCTTAGTAAACGATTAAATGACATTATGTAGAGACACGGATGACTGACACTATTGGCCTAAGAGCCTGTGAACACCAGACCTTCGTCATTTTATAAAAGCTGAAAGTTTGTCAGCGCATGCTCCCAACACAGATAAGAACGATGGACCATTATGAAATTCAGGCTATGGTGGCTTTGGCAGGTACACGATACTAAAGGTGTATAAAATACCGATCTGAATTCGTCAAATAATAAAGTGTAATTTATTTGTATTACCTTCAGAATATTATTAAAAATCACGTCATTCAATGCCAGACACTTAACATCGTAGCAAACCCTTGCCAGACACCCTTTTCATGAAATCATAATTCTACTTACGTTTTAGTATAAAAGCTGATTTTTATATATAATACTTGGGTGATATCAAAAATAAATCAAAAATAAAGTCAATTCTTAGCGCTTCAAATTTGGTGACCATTTGCAACATTTTCTTTGAAATGCCTCCGAACTTGTTTGGAACATTTTTCATGGTGTGTAATAAATGCTATGCTAGCAGTCTTATAAATCATCTAATTATTACCCAAGTATTATATATAAAAATCAGATTTTATACTATAACGTACGTAGAATTATGGTTTCATGAAAAGGGTGTCTGGCAAGGGTTTGCCACGTTTAAGTGTCTGGCATTGAATGACGTGATTTTTAATAATATTCTGAAGGTAATACCAAAAAATCACACTTTATTATTTGACGAATTTAGATCGGTATTTTACACACCTTTAGTACCGTGTACCTGTCAAAGCCACCATAGCCTGAACTTCATAATGGTCCATCGTTCTTATCTGTGTTGGGAGCATGCGCTGACAAACTTTCAGCCTTTATAAAATGACGAAGGTCTGGCGTTCACGGGATCTTCCTCTATATTGGGGATGAATAGATATAACATCATTACAACATACATATTATTGAAATTATATGTATCTACAGAAGCCATTAATAACAAAAATTGATTGTGGGTGTCTACTAGATAAACAAAATAAACATATAAAATAAATCTTGTATCTTATTTATTTGGCCTTAGAATAAATCTATGCTGTTGCTATGCCATTATGTACCTACTGCCTATATATCTATTATGATATTCATATTTTCCGGAAGTATTCGCCTAAAGCAAATTAATTATAATTAAGTATATTTAATATTCAGTGGAATTTTTAAAAATAAATAGAACAATTTCAACGTTTTAAGTTAATTACTTATTTAAAAAGTGTTATTACATATTAGTATTTATTACATACCAGGAGTCACTGTCGTTGAAGCGTGAATGTAGTTGATATCTAGTATTACATCTTGATCAAGTTGACGTGAAGCAAAATCTGAAAAAATATTATAGGTATAGTTAACTCATGTTTTAGTTAGACTTTTTGAACTAAAATGTTATCAAGCTAATATCAAATTAAGAATTTATTGATATCGACAGTTAATAAATACGAGTATCTATCTATCTATACTTATTATAAAAATAAGTCCCCCGGCCGCGTCTTTCTGTCCTCCTGTCTGTCCTCCTGTCTGTCTGTACGCGATAAACTCGAAAACTACTGAACGGATTTTTATACGGTTTTCAACAATAGAAAGAGTAATTCTTGAGGAAGGTTTAGGTATATAATTTATTATGCTTTTATGTAAATTAGCTGAAATACGGCGACAAATGTTGAAGAGGTCGCAAAAAATCTCGCCAAATGGGAACTTTCCACGCGAACGCCGCGTAAACTAGCAAAGATACAGTTAAGTAATGTACTAGAGAATTCAAAATCTATAAAAATGCTACAAAAAAGTCCGCGATAGCATATCTCTATCTCTTACGGTTGACTTACAATAACCACTTTTATGTTAACATTTTTAATTAAAAACATTACGTTATTTTCAAAGTTATTTTCTTTAGTTCGGTATTAATCCTTATCCAAATGAATATTTTAGTTAGCTTAGTCATTTAATGCAGATTAAAATTGCTCTTTACACTAAATCAATCAGATGAATAGTTTTTGAGATATCGTTGTTAGAAGTAATTAGTAGCGAAACATTTTTAATGCTTGGCGAGCATTGAGATGCCTACGGCGAGTCCATCCCCTCTGCCCCGCATCGCTCGACCGCCTGCTCAAGCTATATAAACCGGGCGATGTAGCGCGCGATCCTAGGATACTTTTTACCGCGGGAAAATATCTTATTTCTGAGGAAAAATACAAAAACTGCAATGTAAGAGTATACTAATATGTAACACCTAAGAATTTAGTTTTTGGTCATCTGAACGCGGGCGGAGCCGCGGGCAATGCTAGTATATTTATAGATAAAAAAATAATGCATGAAAACATTTTGTTTATTTCTTTGTTATTTTTGTTACTCATATATTTCTTTGTTACTTTTGTTATTTATGTCTTACAATCATGGACAACAAATAAAACTTACAATTTATGTCTTTGATGATGAAATGTATTTAATTTCCAAATCCTATTAATTGACTTTACTTATCAATATTATAATTATATTTATTAAAACTAAATAAAACAAGTCATTGCATATATGAAAAAGTAATAAATAACAATATTATGTTAATTTATTAATGCCTCCGTGGTTAGTTTCCGGGAAATTAATTGTTAACTGACATGCCGGCATGTTCGCGACCGTTTAATTGTGTTAACTATTGTCCACTCGAAAGTCGAATGTGTCTGCGCGAGATCTTGCTAGCGTCAACTTTAGGACGGCCAAAAAGTTTGGCGAGGATTATACCTCTATATTCACTTCATCTATGCTCGCTTTAGACCACTTTTAAGTATAGTAGGTGATAGGTATTTTTTTATTTATTATATTTTTAAAATATACTTGGGTACGATTTGCAATCGTTTGACAGGAGGATGGTGGTAGGGAGGGGAAAGCGGGAATGGAGTGGGGTGATAAAGAGAACTGAATCGCTGTGATTGCATTACACAAAGTAGGTATGGTGCCAAATACAATTTTTAAAAGTCTCCATATGCTTGGTATTAGTCAAATGTTTGTGTACCGGGCTATTGATAGGTACAATGAAACCGTCTCTGTTTGTGACAGAAAAGATCTGGCCGTCCATGTAGTGTTCGTACGAAAAAGGCGATCAAAGCAGTAAGGGAAAGCATTCGAAGAAATCCTGTCCGAAATCAAAAGATTTTATCTCGGGAGATGAAGATAAGAAGAAAGAAGAAGCACCTAGAACCACGTCGCGTATTTTAAAAGATGACTTAGGACTTGCATTGTCTATAAGAGACACATTGTTTATTTGTTAACTGATAATTTAAAAAAGAATAGGGGGGTAAAATCAAAACTACTTAAGCGGTACGCAAAGGGAGTCACAGAAAATGTTTGTTTACGGATGAGAAATTTTTTACAATTGAGCAATATTTTAACAAACAAAATAACCGCATTTATGCTCAAAACTCTAAGAAGCTTCCCAATTAGTCAACGTGGGCATTATCGGACTTCAGTGATGGTTTGGTGGGGTGTTAGCTATGAAGGAGTGACTGAGCCATATTTTTGTTAAAAAGGTATCAAAACACCGGCACAAGTGTAAAGAGATACAATTCTTGAGAAGGTAGTTAAGCTCCTTATCAACACCATGTTCAATAACCAAGAATGGTCCTTTCAGCAAGACTGGGCGCCGGGTGATAAAGCTCGATCCACGCAATCTTGGTTAGAAACCCACGTTCCGGACTTCATCAGAGCTGAAGATTGGCCGTCATATAGTTCCAATATTAATCCGCTGGATTATGATTCATGGTCAGTTTTAGAGAGTATGGCTTGCTCTAAATGTCATGATAATTTGGAGTCCCTAAAACAATCTATACGATTGGCAGTGAAGAATTTTCCCATGGAAAGAGTGCGTGCTTCTATTGATAACTGGACTCAACTTTTAAAGGATTGTATTGCAGCCAATAGAGACCACTTCGAACAAGCTTTATATATTTTTAGTAGTTTTATATTATACTAGCGGACCCGACAGACGTTGTCCTGTCTACACGTCTTTAATTTGAAAATTTCAAACTTTTTTTAATAATTTTTTTGATGAAAATTATTATTCAAATTGTGAATCTAAACCATTCCCAGATCCCCTTGAACACACACAAAAAATTTCATCAAAATCGGTCCAGTCGTTTGAGAGAAGTTCAGTGACACACACTCACAGAAGAATTATATATATAAAGATATATATTAGATGCAATGAAAAAATGTTTTTTTCTTTGTAACAATTTTTATGGCAAGACTGTATATAGTGATAAACCACGATCTTTAGAGGTTATAATGGTTGTTGTTAATTTTATACAAAAAAAGAGCATTACCTTGAATTGTGAGTGATATTGTTATGATTAGGGATTAAACCTCTACCGAATACAAAACTTTTGTCCACAAACTCCTGCGAAACCAACCCGATTGCAAATCCAACCCGGAGTAGATACTTACCAGCAAAAAATTCCATATTGACAGAAATTCTATCTCCCAACGTCACGAAACAAGGTATACCGAAATTGCAGCCTTCTATGTCCACATTAGTTAACCTGTAAGCCGACCCTGGAACATCAAATAATATCACTACATACCTTGTTTACATTTTTATTTTTTTTTATTTGTATTTGTTTACATTGTGTTTTTTTATATTTTTTTACATTTATTTAAATTCAGACTGAATTTGTTAGTAGTAGGTACAATAGTGAGATAAGCGGTTTAAATCTTGTTGAAACCTATGATGGTCCTCTATTGTTTCGGACGACCAGAACCAGGGTATGTCTAGTACCCGGAGGTCGACCTGGGACAATCTCCCAGACGTTCTTGGCGTACACGGCAGTATGTCCGTTCGCTGGTAATGTACGCCACCACGCACCCCTGAATGCGTAGCTTGGGTCCCGATCCACTAGGGTTTCTTCGTTGACAGGAGACTATACTTAGAGGCGATGAAATAAAACACAATTTTTCCTTTTTTCTCTCTTGGTTTCGGTTCTTCCTTTTCCTTTTAGTTGTTGCCTCTTCGGTGGCTGTCTTGCGACTGACTCGAATCGAGAAATGGCTCGCCTTTTATTTGGCCCGTTAATACCTTACAGAGAGCCGCGTACTTTGAGCTCGTTTTTCGAATAAAATTTCCCTAAACCGAAACCTTGAGAGTCCTTTTATTTTATGTTTTCAGTAAAACACCTTACACATATTTATTTATTTACATGCCTTACATACTATTATACAATATTAAAACATAATATTCAATATATAATAATTAATTAAAAAAGTCTTAAAACAAAAATATCTAAATTTCTAGGTTGCTACATTTTTACTATACATTTTCCCTTATAACTTTTGAACGGATAGTCCTATCGACCTAATTCTTGTTTTATTATAAGTTTTATAATAAAATCTATTATTTAAAACATAAACTATTATGCTATTGCAAGAAACAAAAAATCTCATTTTCAAGTTACGTAATTATATGCTAACATTTTACTTACGTACCTATTCCTTTCAAATTAATGTTAAATAGTCTTATATGATTCAAATAAGCAAAAAATACTCTAAACTAACCTTATTACACTAATTAGAACTTATTTTAACATAATAAATCTAATAAGAATGAGATTTCATATTTACAACAATTATTCATAATACGCTAAAATGACATTGTCCCTATATTAATACACACGTTACTCGAAGATAGGTTTTCCGTCGCCGACATTCTCCCCCTCGTGCTTTGCACCAACTCCTGGACTCGGCGACGCTCCCGGCACCAACAGCACCACTCTCGAACTGGGCCTCCGTAGAACACCTCCTCTGGTCTCGACGTCGACGACTCTGGTCCGCCCGTCTGGTCCAGGATACACATGCAGGATTCTTCCGCGTGGCCAGATGCATCTTGGTAGGCTGTGATCGACGATCAGTACGATGTCTCCGACTTGCAAATCTGTGGCGCTGACTCTTCCTTTGGTCTTCCTTGGTAGTAGAGTGGGCAAATACTCTCTCAGCCAACGTTGCCAGAAGTGATCGGCAAGTCGCTGCGTAGCCTTCCAGGTGTGTCTGCCCACAAGCTCGTTGTCCTCGAAGCTGCCGATTCTTGCTGCGCCACATGATCGCCCGATGAGAAAGTGGTTCGGTGTAAGTGCTTCTTCTTCAGGGTTCTCGGAGAGGTGGGTGAGGGGCCGAGAGTTGACTATGTGCTCGGCCTCTAACAGGAGGGTATGAAGTACCTCCTCTCGTGGTTGCCTTTCGTTGAGCGTGGCGTCCAGTGCGGTTTTAATGGATCGCACCAGACGCTCCCATGCACCTCCCATGTTTGGTGCACCAGGAGGTATGAACTTCCACTGCACACCGATCTTCTCCGCTTCCGAGATAAGGTCTTCTTGCTTCATGGTGTCTAGTGCTTCTTTGAGTTCTTTGTTGGCGCCAACGAAGTTAGTGCCATTGTCGGTGTAGATTATCTTTGGCATTCCCCTTCTCGCGGCGAATCGTCGTAGTGCCATGATCATGCTGTCAGTGGAGAGTGAAGGAGTGAGCTCAATGTGTACAGCTCGTGTTGTTAAGCATGTGAATAGAGCACCCCATCTCTTCTCATGGCGTCTTGCTACGGTGATCGTCATAGGGCCGAAGTAATCTATTCCCGTGCACGTAAATGGAGGGTTTCCGTGCATCAGCCTCTCAGCAGGTAAGTTGCCCACTGGTAGTTCTTGAGGTCTTGCCTTTCTTGTTTTGCACCACTGGCATTGATGTTGAATGGTCTTGATCGCTGACCTCAGTCCTAGCACCCAGAAGCGTTGTCTTACTTCGTTCATTACGGTCGCGTGATTCCCGTGATTGAAGCGGCAGTGAAATTCTTCTATGATGAGAAGTGTTGTCTTGTCCTTGCTGTCGAGTACGATGGGTCGTTTGTAGTCTCTGGTAACCCCTCGTATCGCGTCGATTCTTCCTTTCAGTCGCAGGAGACCTTCTTCTAGCACTACGTCGAGCCTTTTCAACTTGCTGCTGCCCTCTAATTGTTTTCCTTGCTGTAGGCACCTGATGTCCTCTTTGAAGCATTTCTCTTGACTTCTTCTTAACAACAGCGTTTCAGCTTGCTCTAGTAGACTTGTTTCCAATGGTATGTATTTCCTTTCTGACGTTTTTGAAGACAGATGTCGCTTCTCAACAATTTTCTTATTCCTTTTTGTAGTTTTCCAGGTAGGATCTTCTTTGCTGGCGTGGACCTTTTCCTTTCTTCTGCAGAGTTGTATGAACTGCAGTACTCTTGCTGTAGCTCGCCAAAGTCTTTTCCACGACGAGAACTTTTCGGGATCTGGTGATGGATAGGAGCTGCCTGCAGTCGCTACGATGTCCGCTGCCTTTTCTTCGCCAGTGGTTTCTTTCTTGAATGTTCTTGCCGCAGGCCAGTGAACTTCATCTCTTCTTAGAAACCCTGGTCCGGTGTACCATCGGTGTTGGCAGTCGAAGTGTTCTGGTACGTCACGTGTTGCATCATCTGCAGGGTTCTGCGCCGTCGGTACCCATCTCCAGTCCTGTGGTTTTGTGAGATCTTCTATCTCCGCCAAGCGATGAGCCACGAATGTCTTGAAGGTTCTCGGGTCCGTCTTGATCCATGATAGCACGATACTGGAGTCTGTCCAAAACGTCTTCTTTTCTATTTTCAGATCCATTTCTTCCTCGACCGAGTGTGCCAATCTGCTTCCTAGGAGGGCCGCTTGCAGCTCGAGTCTCGGGATTGACACCGGCTTCAACGGAGCGACTCTTACTTTTGCTGCTACTAAGCTGACGTCATAAGTCCCATTTTGATTTTCAGTTCTCCAATATACCGTAGCTGCATACGCCATTTCGCTTGCATCCGTGAACGTGTGCAGCTCCCCCTCGGTGCGACGTGGTGCCAGACATCTCGGGATCTGAAGGTCTTGGAGCAGCTTCATCTTCTCCAGGTAAGTCTTCCATGACTCGTACTCCTTTTCTTCTATCTCTTCATCCCAACCGACGCCACTTCGCCATATGTTCTGGAGCAGCCTTTTGCCTTGGATGAGAATTGGTGATGCTAGCCCTAGTGGATCGAAGGTCGACATCACGGCGCTGGTGACTTCTCTCTTCGTAGGTACCTTGAGTCCTTGTGCCACTTCATCTGGCGTGTTCCGAAGGTTCGCCCTAAAGCCTATGGAGTCCCTTTCTGTAAACCAGCGTAGTCCCAGTGTCTTCTCTTCCTTCTCACCAAGGTCCACCTCTGTCTTCTCAACTGACTCAGTCTTCACGTCTTGCAGCAGGTCGGAGTGGTTTGACGCCCATCCTCGGAGTTCGAAGCCCGCCTTTTTGTGAATGAAGTCCACCTGCGCTGTAATTCTCTTGAAGTCCTCTTCTGAATGGAAGCTGTGCAGGTAGTCATCCATGTAATGGTTCAGCTCGATTGCCTTTGCTGCCTCTGGGTACTGCTTCTTGTAGTCCGCCGCGTTCCGGTTCTTCACGTAGATCGCTGTGCTAGGAGATGATGTCGCGCCGAAGATGACTGATGTCATTCTGTACTCCTTCGGTGCTACGTCACGACGATCCCCTCGCCACAGGAACTTCAAGCTGTTTCTATCTTCTGGCCGGATGCGAACTTGCAGGAACATTTCCTTTATGTCGGCTGCCACTGCAAACGGGCCTTGCCGGAACCTCAGTAATACCCCGAAGAGCGATTGCAGTAGGTCTGGTCCCGGTAGTAAAGCGTCGTTGAGGCTTCTCCCTTTAGACTTGGCTGCAGCGTCGAAGACGATCCTTATTTTCTTCTTCAATGGATGTACCACGGAGAAATGAGGGAGGTACCATGTCTTCTTTGAATCTTCTTGTCCACCAGGTGCTTCTTCTGCATACTTGCTGTCGATTAGATGCTGGATCTGCTTATTGTATTCTGCCTTCAGCTGAGGGTCTTTGTCTATCTTCTTTTCAATGTTGAACAATCGGTTCTTGGCAGACGTGTAGTTTTCAGGCATCTGTTCATCTTCATTTTTCCATAGAAGTCCAGCTTCAAATCGACCATCTTCTAGTCTTCTGCAGGTCTTCTCTAGGATGGTGAGTGCTCTTTCTTCTGAATCCGTAGTGGGTCTTCTTGGTAGTACTCCAAGTGCTTCGATTGCGAAGTGATCCTTGATGGCTTGATGCATCTCTTCTTCTGGCGTGCTGACATGTAGACACGTGTTTAAGAAGTGCACCACTTTCGCGCCTCCAGTGTCTGACCCGTGGAGCACCCATCCAAGTCCTGTTCTTGAAGCGACTGGTTGTCCTGGTTTCCCTCTTCTTACTTCTTGAGTCACGATTAGCTCCCAGTTGTCTTGACCGATGAGCAGCTGTGGTGACTCCCCCTTATAATATAGAGAGTCAGCAATCTTCTTCAAGTGTTGACACTCTTCTATCCTTTTCTTTTCTAGGAACTGCGGTGCAAGCTTCAACTCGTCGATGGTCCGGACTCTTCTCAAGGTCTTCTTGGTCTTCTGATGAATCCCCTTCACCGTAAGGTCCAGCATCTGAGAGTCTTCCTTCCTTATCAGCCTGCCTCCAACAGTCTCGATGACCAGTTCCTCCTTTCT